CCAGCTCTGCCGAGCCCAATATTTTTGGAAGAAGTGAGTGTGTCCTAGTGATTGAACTCATGTCCTTCACCAAGCGAACTGTCTGTTCCCCTTTGTAATGTTGGGTGAATTTTCAGCATCCCACAAAATGTGTTAAATGACCAATGATACAGGTGGTTTCGATCCGATTTGAGGTTCTGTGAAAAGAATGGTCAAAAAATGTTGGACGGTCACCCCTTTCAACATACATACGAGGGGCCAATCAAATCAACATACAGGAGTATTGTGGCACATTCTTATGAAAATGGGTGCTCAGTGAGTAGGAACCAGATTCAATGACCAAAATACCTTCATGATCATTCAATCCTATTAAAATCCCATTGCAATCATTGAAATCACATCAGAATGCCATGAAATCTATTAAATCACGATGGTTCATTCATCTAAGCTTCTTCCAATATTGTTTTTGCGCCTCTCTCGACGAGATTCAAGACTGACCCTGTCCCAGCCACTGGATTCAAGACTGACTGTGTGGCATCACAGCAATGTAGAAATCTTGTTCTTCTGTGTGCCAACATCTCCAGCGATTGGAGCGACAGAAATGCGCACTGTTGTTTTTGATTGTTTTTCCGATGTTTCTGAATTTCGGACAGCTCAAACAGAATGCATCAACATCAGCACATACGAACACACTTCTCAACAGTTGAGGATGGCAGGTTCCAAAAAGTGCCACTTCTCGGAAACGCACTTCCGTGTCTTGAAACGTTGAAAGTTCTCGTCTACCAAATGCCAAGTTCCAGCCACGGTCGCTCAGGATTGCTGCGCTGGCTCAATTTGGGTCAACATTTCTGCCATCAATATATCATATATCATATATCATATTTTTATAAATATATCGATCAATTTTCCCGATTTTCCCTTGAGTTATATAGAACTATCAGAATGATCAGAATGTGCTTGGTTTCGGAGACATTCGGATACTTCATTGCCTGAGCCATCATCGAGTGCGACTGTTGTGACTGAACTGCCAGCTCTGCCGAGCCCAATATTTTTGGAAGAAGTGAAGACAGTTGAAAAAAATGAGAAAGGCCTCTGTGCTTAAACTGAAATGATTCTCATGATCTAGAAGCTCCCGATTTGGATGAAAACTGAATGAACACCTCCTCCCCTGGCAAAGGGGTGCTCCCGTGAGAAAATAATCCACAAAGATTAAACACATGCTCACACAGATTTTGAGGATGTGCCATTTATAAATGATTTTCCATTGCCATGTTTGATGACACAGGACGGTATATCCCTTGTAAGGCAATTCCAATCATTCATGTTTTTTCCCCCATCAGTGTGTCCACGCTGAGATCGATGAGGGGTTGTTGCGTATGTGTTAAACGCCGGGGTTAGATCAGGGTGCTCCACCGGTTTCTTTGTTGTAAATTCTCGCGCACGTGTCCCCTTGCGAGATGTCCTGCATTTCGACTGCACACGCTCGCGCGAAGTCGGGGTCCCGGTTTGCTCTCTTCCGAAGGTCTCGTCGAAGGTTTCTTTTTTGCCGGCGCGCCCTGCTTGATTTTTGAGCTATGTCCATTTCGTGTGGCAAGCGTGGGACATCCGAGACATTTTGAAGTCTAAAACATCGGAGTGGATGTGCAACACGGCTCGCGAAATCAAAGCAGCCACTCAGCCACTAACCAGCCAGTCACTCCCACCAGAGCGGCTGAGTGGCTGAGTGGCTGCGGCAGCAACTATGTTAGAGTTTTTCGATACATACGTAACTTAAGCCCCGTAAAGTTTCTCACTACACGCATTGTGTGTGGCGTGGCGGCGTCTGAATTTGTATTGGCGGCATCTGAATTTATATTCTTTGCTGGCTCCGATTTGGGATGATGTTACTTATTTGTAGGTAGTGTTTCAACACGCTATGGACCAAACTACGTTCGAATTCTACCATATTCTTTTCAACAGTTTAGACCAATACAAAGAAATATATACATACGTATACACGTTTAACACAAAATCATCATAATTGATCTTTCGGTCAATGTGATGCCGACAATGCTTTGCACAAGGAATTCATTTGTTGAGAACGCCACTGCTTTTACTTTTATCTTTTCGCCGCGCCTGTGGTGGAAGGCCATGAGTGCTCGAAGATTAATGAAGCGGATTTTGGAGCCCATCAATCCACATGAAAGCAAAACTACGTGACTAACACCCTGATAAAATAAGTAACACCCTGATTCGTTTTGCTTTCATGTGGATTGATGGGCTCCAAAATCCGCTTCATTAATCTTCGAGCACTCATGGCCTTCCACCACAGGCGCGGCGAAAAGATAAAAGTAAAAGCAGTGGCGTTCTCAACAAATGAATTCCTTGTGCAAAGCATTGTCGGCATCACATTGACCGAAAGATCAATTATGATGATTTTGTGTTAAACGTGTATACGTATGTATATATTTCTTTGTATTGGTCTAAACTGTTGAAAAGAATATGGTAGAATTCGAACGTAGTTTGGTCCATAGCGTGTTGAAACACTACCTACAAATAAGTAACATCATCCCAAATCGGAGCCAGCAAAGAATATAAATTCAGATGCCGCCAATACAAATTCAGACGCCGCCACGCCACACACAATGCGTGTAGTGAGAAACTTTACGGGGCTTAAGTTCCGTATGTATCGAAAGACTTTTCCATACAGCTAACCCGCCACTACTGGAAGGAAGTTTGTCATCCACCCCGGCCACTCAGCCACTCAGCCGCTCTGCTGGGAGTGACTGGACCAGCAGCCACTCAGCCACTCTGACTGGGTGAGTGGCTGTTTCAGCCAATTTGCCGCAGCCACTCAGCCACTCAGCCGCTCTGGCAGAGTGGCTGACGCAGCCACTCAGCCACTCAGCCACTCAGTGATTGAGAGGGGCTGAGTGGCTGGGGTGAATTTTTCTGCCATTGTGCTCAATCTAAATCGTTCTGCGTGACAGGTGCAGGAAATCGGTCACTTTTTCATCTGTGTGGCTAAAACGTTGGGATGCGTGGGTCAAAATGAGAGGTGCTTTTGGAAGTAATTTTGCGTGGCAAACGCGGGATTTGGTGAACTTTGACGACGTTTTGAAAGGGTCAAAAGCACCGTTTTGTGAAACTGTCGTCGTTTTTGGCCATGACGATGATTCCGTGTGGCGGGTGCCGCACCTCTCGGATGCCTCGGGCTCATTTTTCGTGACAAGTTGAATACTTTCTAGGCCTCGACAAAAAAATGGCTGAAACCTTAGGTCAAGCATGGCTTTTGACTTTTTCAATGTCGGTTTTCGTGGTGCGCGCAATATTCTGTGAACATCTAACATGTGCTCACGCAACCCTCTCGTAACTTTGTGCGTGTCGGGTCGCTCTCGTTGTGGCACTGTGCGAATTTTTGCTACCGCTCGCTCGCGCAACCATATCTCAGCACTTTGTGCGTGTCGGATCGCGCTCGCTGTGGTGCGGTGTTGGTTTTAGCTGATTCTCTTGGATCCTGGCGAAGAGATCTTCTAAGTTCTGTGGAATGTCCTTCTATGATGCTCTAGCATCTTCTTGATGCAATATTTATTAAGATCTTGACCAAGGTCTTGTAGAGATCCTTGTGAGAAGATGTGGTGCAGATCCTGATGAAATCCTGTCGGAGGAGGTCTTGCATGATCTTGCGCAGGTCCTTATGAAAAGATCTTGTGGAGATCCTCATGAGTTCCTCTCTAAGAGGCCCTTGCATGATCCTGTACAGGCCCTTACCAGAAGATCTTGTGGAGATCCTGCTGAGATCCTCTCTAAGAGGTCCTTGCATGAAGGTCTTGCAGATGCCATGTGTTAGAGGTGCTTCTATGAAAGCTCTTGTGGGGGCCTCTTGGGAGGCTCTTGTATCAAGATCTTGTCACATCCGTTCGAGGTCCTTTTATGACGATCTTGTGAGATTCTCTTAGGGGTCCTGGCATGAAGATCTTGGTCAAAGTCTTTTACAATCCCTTGTGAGAAGACCTTGTAGATATCCTGGTGAAATCCTCTAGGTGTCCTTCACGATCTCCTACAGGTCCTTGTGAAAAGATCTTATGGCGATTCTGTCGAAACCCTCCTCAAGAGGTACTTGCATTAAGATCTTGAAGATGCTCTGCGTTGGTGCTTGTATGAAAATTCTTCTGGGATGCTCACAGGAAGTTCTTGTATGAGGATCTTGAGAGATCTTCTATATAGATTATAAAGAAGGTCCTGCTGCTGCAGTTGCGATCATGTCTAGCCCTCATCTGTTACTGTTTCATAGCTACTGTCGCTTGTATCTGGTACATTGACTTCCCACCCCCCCCACACTGTTTAGGGTCTCTTGCCGGTGTAGTTGCGTAAGAAACATCCTGCACTTCAGCAGAACTCTCACCATCAAGATCTCATGACCTAACGCAACAAGACTCACAAGTAATACGATCGCATACATAAATCAACACATCACATGCTACATATACAATGCTGTTCTATGAATCAATATGTTGGTGTGTACACATGGACATATGTATATATACCTGTATAACTAACTGTACATTTACAGTTGACGACCAAGATTCTCATTAGCTTTTAAGTCGTGGGACCCATGTGGGCAGCAGTGTCTCTTATGAAGGCAGGACACAGTCACTACCTGCCAGATTATCAAGGACAGCTTCATTTTTCCATTCTGGTCTATTTGTAAGCCTTCCCTTCAAATCGCATTTTCACATTTGCCCACTCCTTCACGTAACTTCTGCGGAACTTTCATGAAACTTTAGCTCATCTTTCTCACGAACTCGGGTAGAAAAACCCTGTGCGAGAGATAGACGCATAGCAATCGTAACTAGTCATAACTCCTTACATGGAGCTTTAGACCAACCAGGTTCAACAATTATTCACCACTATTAACCAGTAACCATTCTTGACCCTAAATACATGTAGATCACCTTAGAATAAGGTATGGCACCCATTCTTGTGCACAGCTATGCAGATCTCCACTTCTTCCACCGTTTGCTATTACCGATTTCACGGCGTTAAAGCCAGAAACGAGTACTGCTGGAAGATCCCGTGAAATGCTTTCGGATCAGCTCCTGAGAATTCCAATGATCAATGGTATCGGAAAATGTGGGGCGAAAATCTGAAGATGTGGTGATTTTGAATAGGTTGAATTACTGGAGGGTAGGAACATCATCTTCCAAAGAATCACCAGTCAGGGGTCCTTGGCAAACCACTGGAAAACATCTCCAATCTTGCCATGTTGACAATTGAGCAATGGTCAAAACATGACACATCATTTTATTAGATACTGCCTGGTCAAAACGGGATTCCCATGGATGATAATCACCAATATAATCACCAATTTACTGAATTTACTGGATAGTTTAGCCACCAATCATCAACCAGTAGGGCTTTTGAACACTGCTCGACAGAAATCCCGGAATCCCCACATAGTCATCTAGGACATCCTGCAACTGCTCGTTCCATCTATTTTTTGTGGTATGGAGCCCCTTTTAATTCAGGTGAAACAGTCTCAATCCCCTATTAAGATGGGATCAATGGATTTTCAGTGGATTTGATGGTTCCACTTTAACAGCGTCACCATAGTGGTTCAAGAGCATTTTTTTCTACTTGCCTATAGTGGATAGCAATCCAT